GTTGGAGATGTTGGATTTTTAAGACTTCAGGTTCTGGGTCCTAGGAAAGAGATTTGGGTTGGCTAAGGTATGACTGCTAGGATATAAGATGGCGTTGGGGGCAGTCATGAAATTACTGTTGAAGCCACCGAGTTGGTGGGTGGGGATTCTTTCCTTGTGCAGGGAGGTAGGGCACGTGTGTAGTGCCCAGGAGCGATCGGCTACAAGTAATTAAAGGAAGAACACTTCTGGAGCTTGAGAGACTACCCAAGGTGCAGGGCAACTCGACTTTGGGAAGGCCCCCCTCCAACCCGCAGCAGGATGGTGGGAGGGCAACGCACGCAGCTCAGGCCCGGCCGGCAGGGGGCGCCTCCACTTGGGCAGACCTGCCGAGTCAGGCCTGATGAGTAAACTGAAATCCCAAGGGTTGAGGGTGTCTAAGGCGACTTGCACCCGGCTGTGGGGGAGCAGGATTCTGGGTCACCTGGATACAGCCCTTTCCTGACAGCTTGGACCTCCAGGTCCCTTCTTTGTTCTGCACCCTACCCGGAAAGGGAGTGGAATTGGCATAAAGTCATCCTCCCATTCCAGGTGGCGACCCTCTTCCTCCTCAGATCTCAGGTACCCTCCACACCCCACTCCCAACCCCAGACCAGAACCATTTTGAAAGGCGTGGAACAGAGCCGCTCTCAAACATCCCTTCCTTCTCCAGGAGGACCCCGTCCCTGGTGTAGGAGAGGCCCAGCAGGTGCTTTTCAAGGCTTCCTCCCCTAAGAGGCCTGCACGGGTGATTCACAGTGCCAACTATGCGGTCATCCCCTTCTTCCAAATTCTGTTGCTTTGTCCACCCTGTTGGTGGGTTCTTTGCAGCACTGCACCCTTCACTCCCCTGCTCAAGAACCTGGGATGCCTCCCTATTGCCAACTACAGACTTGCTTATATTCCAGAACTTCATTCTGTTTCTTCCCCAGAGCTGCATGCTGCATGCTCTGGAGCTGTATCAAAGCATCTAGAATACCACCTGACACAAAGTAAGTGCTCAATAAACCTACCCCAGCCTCCCGGTTGTCTCATCCTAGTTGATTTCTATAGCTCCACCTAGCTTTCACCCTGAGCTGCACTGCCTACAGTGAAGGCAAGGCCCTACCCAGATTTTCAGCAGCTTTCCAGTCACTGCTGGGGACCCAGGCCACTCCTGTAACATGTGTGAGCAAATCACCTCAAGAAGCCCTTGACTTGCCATATAAGTCACTGATGGTTGGGCCCTAAGGAATTAGTAGGCAACATTCTTTAATATCTTCTGACTCAGAAGGTGACACCTGTGATTTTTAAGTACATCTTCACTTTGTTCAGGCAGATGCTGAGAAGGAATGGCTTAGGCAGATCTTTCCCAATTCAGTGCTTGTTTTGCCTAGAAGTCAAATTAGCATAACTTTTTTGAGCACTGAAGGTTGTTCTTCACTTAGCTATAAACCTGTGGCTCAACTCTGCAAACACATTAATGAATCATCAGAGATAGCTCTTCACACTCAGGAAACACTGATTTGAATGAAAGGCTTCCTTGGTGAACATAAAATTTATGCTGCAATGTTAACCAAGGAACTGGAGAAATGCCCTATGGAGGTACTCAAGTTCACTACCACACACCAGCACTGGGTTCCCCAGGGTCGAGTCCTCGCCAGCTCTGAGGTCTGTGCACAGCAGTCAGGCTCCAGGCTCTTCCTCAGCATGACAGAAAACGTCCTGACTCACCTACCTACCTAGGACACTAGGAAAGTGGACAGTATCTTTCTTAGGTCGGTAAGCTAGGGTAGAAAGAAGGGGTAGTTAAGAATAAACCCCAATCAAGATAAAACTAAACTTGGGAAGAACCCAACTTGTATTTTCTTTAACCTCTGCCCCAGGTTCATGGGGAAAGGAAGCACATACCTGTGTGTGGAAGTATGGGATTTAATTTTCAAAATAGGCTTTAAGATGTATCATTTCCCTAATCAGGAAACAGGCTCTGTTTCATCCTATGAAGAATGTAACTAATTATTGCATGCAATTATAGTCAGGTCTAATATATTAATCAAAAGATGGGATTAACACCATCAGAAGGATGTGACCCCAGAACACCATCCACTGGATAAAAATATTGTTTTCTTTAAGTCGGAATAAACTTGAATGGGCAATCTTAATTATAACTGAGATGCAGAGGGTTATTTTGTCTAGAGAAAAACACAAGACCAGGTTTATTTCATACAATGTTATTCACACATTTTTCATTTTCTAATTTATACATAATATACAAAGAAGTGAAGATAACATTTCAAATGAACCAATAAGAGCCAGGACTTAGACAAACTGGTCCAGAAACAACCTATATCAAAAGGAGACACTCAAAGAGTTGTGGTTCTGCCCAGTTAATTTCTTTATTCTGAAATGTCAGACTTTACTAAAATTCCATGCCAACATAGTAAAAGGTAGAACAGGGAATTGGGGTGGGCAGCAAAAATGGCAGACCATAAAATTTCCACAAGAACAGGAATTTTTCTAGAATATACTTAAGTATTGGGAGGGTTGAGTTGTTAGCACTGGGAAACATGGAAACAACAGGACCCCTAGAGGAGGGTTGTTTCCCAATGTAACATTCTCTAGGACTTGGAATTTTTTAAAACTGCAGCAATAACTGCCTGTGCCAACAGAGTATGGTAAGGATAAAGGCAAACTAGGAATAACTGTATTAATACAGGAAAGTCAGTACCAATCTCCAACAAGGAAAGCTTTGATCCTGAGACCAGGGACTGAAAGTGGAAAGAAAGGTTTGACACGGGGTTGAGACTCTTGAGGCTGGCAAAACAAAATTAGGAAAGGATGGAGAGAGCAGCTTTTTAAGGGACTGGGTAATACTGATAACTATGAAAAGGACATGCTGATGAGCCAGTGTGACTGAGAAGGAACAGTGAATAACAAGTGGTTGGATTTAATGGCCTCACCAAGGAATGTCGGGTTAGAAAACTAGAATAACAACATCCAACATAAAAGGTATTCCTGGCACCCCAATGTTTATGCTATTATTTTAAGGTTCAAGATATGAATGGCTAAGTGATAAAATCTTTAAATTCAATAATATTGTGCTCAGAAGATTGCTTTTCTTCTGCAGACCTCTAGTAAAAAAATCCTTTCCATGTTCAACTCATGACAGAGATAGCATGTTCATTTTAGTTTTCAGCATTAAACATAAATGGGTCAACATAAATGTTTATACAAAATACTGACTTCAACAAAATACAAAGCACTTTCTTTATCTTTCAGAAACTGAATATACAAAGCAAGTTTTTTTCCAAAATATTTTCATAGGCAAAGGATTAAAAACGATTTTAATTATACACATATGGTCACAATTTTGCCTTAAAAAGATTGTTGGGAAATGTACATAAGGCCGCTTGTAAATGTACATCATGTTACTGTTATAATGTCTTATGTCCAGAGAAAAAAACGTTATCATACAGATTTGCTCTTACTTGGGAGTAGGCTATTCAAAAATACAGTACTCTTCTGTACAAAGAAAAAAAATCACATCACATTTTAATAAGATGGAAAAAGCATTGGCTTCCTTGGTAAGCAAATATCTCAGTCCAATACTTTCTATTATGCACAATACCCTGACTTCAATTGAAAATGATCCAAATCCTAGCATGTCCGTATTAACAGAGTCAACAACTATGTTATAAAACAAAATGTTTCTCACAATAATAAAAAGAAAGGTGGTTCATACATCTGAAACCATATAAAGATAAAAAATTTTTAAAAAATCACTCTCAATTTGGAGAAATAAATTTACATTATACAACACTATATTGCCAGGTCAAAGAGGGCAGGGACATAAATGTACACTAAAATGCAAATGTTTCCCAAAGAGATAAAACAAATTCCATTTACAGCATGAAGGTTTACAAATGTACACCTGTACAACCAAGGAAAGTGTCACTACTAAATTAGCAAGGCTTTTATAATAAACATTGAAACAAGATTTGCTTTTAAAGTGTAAACTTACATCTATTACTACACACACAATGCATATATTTATAGGAAGCAAAAAAAGCTATCTGAATATGTAATCATGCTTAAATGTTGAGCTATCAAATTCACTTTTCAGTGGCCCCTTTTCACCTCTGTTTCCTACTTTCTGCATCTACTAGGAAAAAGCAAAATAAAGCTCAACACGTCCTCAACATGTCTGTAATTCTATAAGCAAAACAAAATACAAATTTCCACTCTTTCTCATTGCAAACCAAACTGAAAAGTTAATGTGAAACTTCTCATTTAGTGCACTTAACTGGATGGAAGTGTCACCATGATTTTTTTTTTCTCCTCTGTTTCCTAACTCTTACAACAATTACATATGTAAGTATATACAATACTTCTGTACATTGCCAGAGACATTATAGGGCAGTATTTGTATTAAAAACCACATCAACCGTAAATAATGTTAAGTTCCTTTTATCTCAAATCATTTTATTCTTGTCTTACTTGCTGAGTTTTTATTTGCATGATAGTTTGTGAATTATCAAAATACAACTTAACTTTCTCTTTTTAAAATATTAATAATATTTATGCAGTTGATTGATTTATCTGTTATAAAAGGCTTCACGCAAAGGAAAAAAAAAAAGGACTATAATTCTATATACATCTCTATAAACCTGTTGTGCTATGGGGTTGTAGACCTACCAGACTGCAAGCCAGTTTTTTAAAAGAATACTGTACTTTTTCCTTTAAAAACTATTTTTGTGACTTTACAAGGTAAAAATTTACAAAATATGTGACAACTTTTTTTTTTTTGATACAGTTACATCATATACAGGCATTCTGTGCTTTGCCAGCAATCCAATCTGATAGGTCTCCATTCAGGGCTGAATATAATTTATAATTCACCACCCCCACCCCCCAAATATACACAAGAACCTTAAAAAATTTACAAATGGATGAATAAAGTCAATAAATAGTTTTGCATTAAAAAAAATTGAAGATTCATAGTTGTGTTTTGATAATTCACAAAAGAAATATTCTTCTCACATAGTTAAATCATCTTCTTTCTTTTTTCCTTTTACAGCATTCCATTTGGTGGTCCTCCAATAGGCCCTAGATCTGGGCTATTTTTCAAATAATATTTTTCCAACTTGGCCAGTATATGCTTCCCATATGTGTATTTGCGCAAAGTAGTAATGTGAGGTCGAATCTGAAAAACAAAATATCTGCTTAGGAAATCTAAGTTATTTTAGGTTCTTAGTTGTTGTTGTTCTTTAAAAAAAATATACATATATATAATAAATATATATATTAAAAAATATATATATATAGTTGTAGTTGGACACAATATCTTTATTTGTTTTTATGTGGTGTTGAGGATTGAAACCCAGTGACTCGCATGTGGTAGGCAAGTGTTCTACCACCGAGCCACAACCTCAAATTTGGGTAATTCAGAGAAATAATCACAATTTATAATTTTAAATTCAAAGCAGTTCTGATCCATTCAATTTCTCCAAATATCTGCTCTCAAAATAATAATAATAATAAACAAACCACTACTTTTTAAAACGATGTCACATGCAAATAGAGAAATACACAATACAGTGGGAAAGTATCGTGAGGGAGTACTAACATTCTTTAAAATCCCTATCTCTTATCTTTCCTTCCAGATTGGTAAGGCTAAAAATAAATATAATACCTGGATTAATGAGCATAGTATAGTAAAATAGGCACTCTTCTCACATACTAGATAGGCAGACACATAACTTGCATGAGATTTTTTGAGTGCAACTTGGCATTATCTATTAAAATGTAAAATGTTTACATGCTTTGACCTAATCACTCCATATCCAGAAATCTACAATACCCAAACATTTAATTATGCAAGTTTTTTATATAAATACTTATATAATCTGAGTTTTTAAACATGATGTTGGCTTATAAAGCACCAATAAAAATTATGCAAAAAAGAGACAAAAATAAATAAATACATACTTATAATAAATAATCTGAGTTTTTAAATATGATGTTAGCTTAATAAATTATGTAGCTGTTAAAAATAAGATCAAAAAGAAATGCAGGAAAAAGAAAAAAAAAGATCAAAATTTTATTTGTATAATTTTAAGCAGAAACACTGAAGTAAAAAAACAGGAACTTTAGTAGAAGTTAAAGGATAGTTTTTAAAAACTGGCACTATAATTAACAGTAATTATTGTATATTAGCTAGTAATTGATCCCCAAACACTTTTATGGCAGGAAGGGATCTAAAGCCTTTAAGTCCCAAGTTTTCAATTCCATGAACATAATAATCATTTCAAAGTTATCACGGCAGTATGTTTGTTGCTCAATTAAGGTTTTTATAGGTGCTCTGCATCTGAGATAATGGAACAAAATGGGTTAAGAGATCATTTCCCCTCTATATGATGAAATCCAAAGAGGATATAAAATTTGCTTCTGTTTCCTAAAGAAATAAATTTAGAAAAAGTTCCAGAGCATTGAATTATTATTTCTTCTTCTTTTTTTAAAAGTTAAGTTTTCCGCTGGGAATGGAGCCACCATTTGACCCAGCTATTCCCCTTCTCGGTCTATTCCCTAAAGACCTAAAAAGAGCATGCTACAGGGACACTGCTACATCGATGTTCATAGCAGCACAATTCACAATAGCTAGACTGTGGAACCAACCTAGATGCCCTTCAATGGATGAATGGATAAAAAAAATGTGGCATTTATACACAATGGAGTATTACTCTGCATTAAAAAATGACAAAATCATAGAATTTACAGGGAAATGGATGGCATTAGAGCAGATTATGCTAAGTGAAGCTAGCCAATCCCTAAAAAACAAATGTCAAATGTCTTCTTTGATATAAGGAGAGTAGCTAAGAACAGAGTAGGGTCGAAGAGCATGAGAAGAAGATTAACATTAAACAGGGATGAGAGGTGGGAGGGAAAGGGAGAGAGAAGGGAAAATGCATGGAAATGGAAGGAGACCCTCAGAGGTATACAAAAGTTCATACAAGAGGAAGTGAGGGGAAGGGGAAAAATAATACAAGGGGGACAAACGAATGTCAGTAA